ATATTGTGTCATGGGTTAAGAAAAACTGCAGGTTTGAAGAATGTATATATTATTTATGAAGTGTTACAATTAAATCAATTCAATTTCGTGGTCGCCTTTGTATACTAGTGACATTTTTCGTTGTGGTCCGCCGTAATAAGTTAACTCGTCAGCAGTGATTATCTCATTGAAACGTTTCGGAGTAATACTCTCCTTGAAGAAGAGTCTCCGAAGAGTCCTAAGTATTCAAGGTCGGCGACAATGGCATCGCCTTCTTTCGTTGGGATTTTTCAATATGGTGATGTGATTAGAATCACTGTTCAATACCAAAATATTTACACCTTACCATGCGAGAGTTTTCTCTATTTAGAAGGGAAATTTTTAAAAGAAGACGGATCAGGTGTACCAACTAATAGTAAATTAACTCGAACGCTTTTGCATTTTTGATCGATGAAATTAGGTACGAAATCTGTGGAACAGAAATAGACAGAATTAAAAATCCGGGAATTTCCAGTACTTTGAAGGGTTTAACTTCAATAAGACGTCACGGCATTAATGGTGGCTGGATCTCACCAGGATCTAAAACTCTAAGTTTGAATTGATTGAAGGGCATTTCAATGGTTGCATCCCATTACGATTGTTACCCGGTTTTGCAGAAGATTACCAAAAAGTTATCATCAAAGTGAAACAAGAGCTCATATTGGTACGATCCAGAAGGGATGAAAATTCTTACATTTCAACAGATAATTTGGAAAAAGCGAAAATAGAGTTGACGAATCTCTCTTGGAAAATACCCTATCTCTATTTAAACGAATATCAGAAATTATTGATGTTGAAGCATTTAAAAAATGAAAAAGTAATATCGGTACTATTTAGAAATTGGGAGTTGTACGATTACCCGCTACTACCTACGACCCAGAGACAGTTATGGCCGATCAAAACTTCTACTGATATGGAAAAACCCCGTTTTGTAATTTTGGCATTTCAGTCGTCTAGAAAAAATAATTCGTTGGTGAATTCAGGTAAATCTGACCATTGCTGTTTGACTAATGTAAAACTTTTATTAATTCGAAATCTTACCCATAGGACGATTTAAATGTGAATTTTTCTAATAACCAATATGGAATGTTATACTATATGTATGCAAACTTTTGAAAAAAATTATTACTTTGCGCCCAATCCCTCTCCTTTACTGTCATTATCTCAGTTCAGGGATGAAGCTCCGATTGTCGTAATTGATTGTGCCAAACAGTCCGAATCCATAAAAACTGGTCCGGTAGATGTGAGACTCGAATTCCAAGATAATAAACCGTTTCCTTCTGATATTGTCTCATAATACATGATAGAATAATATAATACAATCCTCTCTCCAACATCGTTCATAGAATGGGTATAAATTCCAAGAGCCAGAACATTTCAATTCATTTGCTACCATGAGTTCGAACAGAGCATGTGTTGTAGAAATTCAATGCTTTGTGGACAACAGGAATGAACATATTGTAAAAGAATTGTCGATTGTAGATCTTGACCACTATTCGAGTCAACATTGGGCTTTCAAACTGCCTGAGGAATGTGCGCAAAACGAGTCCAGTCTTCAAGTAAATAGTTGGTTACATCGGTATTTCCATAGAATAAAATGGGGAGATGGTGATGTAGACTATGACCAATTAGATACGATTTTACGTCATCATCTTGATAGATATAAAAAGATTTTTGTTAAAGGCTTACAAAAGAAGAGGTTTCTCTCATATTTCACCGATAATGAAATAGACCTTGAAGATTTTGGCTGTCCGCAAATTGGAATTTTGACACCAGCGCAAGAAGGGACACATTGTTTACTCCATAATATTACGCCAAAGGTGTGCACTCATTTTCGCGCATACGCCTTGTCCAATTGGATTTGTAAATCATTTATTAGAGATATTAAAATAATATTTAGCGCACAGAAGAATTTTGTTTTAATAAGACGGCAATTTTTTTTAAAGAAAATATAATTTTAATAAAAAGGCAATTTTTAAAGAAAATTTTTTCTCTTATATTTTGTATCTATAGAAGGTTTTTATGTTATAAATTAAACGGTATTTTCATATATAGTATTTTTTTTTCTAGAAAAGTTTAAAATTTTTTAAACTAGAAAATATTTTGTTTTTGTGGGTTTGAAGTAATTTTCAATATAACGGTATATAAGTATGAATGTATGGTCACGCGCGGTGGTTAAACACTCGTAAACTTGAGCGATTGGACGGTCCCTGGCGAGGCCGTTAAAAACCCGACCAACCAAAATTTCAAAAAATTATTTCAAATCCCGTCCTCGTCGTATCTCCACTTTGCCGTAGTGAGGAGGCTTTACAAACAAAGAGAGATACATAGTTTAATGAATTCGTTTTACTTTATTTGATGAATAATAACCAAAAATAATTCACAACTTGGAGAATGTAGACATGAATGAACTTGTTTGTTTACCACTTTTATTTTCACCATATTGCTATGATGGAATTTAACCTCAATCAATCCAAAAAGAGTATTTATAAAGAAATCACCCACACAACAGGGTTAGATATGCAGGAACATGCTAGTCTACGTTTGATAATATAATGCGCAGTCGATCAAACCAAGTTCATTTCGTCGTAGGCGTTCGCTTAAGGAGGTCGTCCAAATAACACAAGGTAATAGATATCAATACATAACTTTATTTATTTTGTACAAATATTGACATACCTTAATTTCACACCGATGGACTCTATGAAACTCGTACGTGCTCTCAACCAAATCACTGCTCGAAAAAAAATTGGAAAAATTTCCGATTTAAATGTAGGATTCGTTTACGAGGTGAAGGGTTTGGTCAAAATCACCAAAACCACCGGCGATGCCATTGTCGCCGACCTTGAATACTTAGGACTCTTCGGAGACTCTTCTTCAACGAGAGTATTCCTCCGAAACGTTTCAATGAGATAATCACTGCTGACGTGTTAACTTCTTACGGCGAAACACAACGAAAAATGTCACTAGTATACAAAGGCGACCACGAAATTGAATTGATTTAATTGTAACACTTCATAAATAATATAAATAAATAATATATACATTCTTCAAACCTGCAGTTTTTCTTAACCCATGACACAATATGGTGCAAAAAAAGGTAGCCACAACCCTCATCAAATACCATAGTTGTGAAAAAATTCAGTCACTCGTCGAACCCCATTGAAAAAATCAGTGACGTCAGTCGTCAAACACAATTGAAAAGTGACGTCACTCCTGGGCCTCATCAGACCCGACGACTAGTGGTGGGGGTGTCTGCAAGGAGGAAAAGAGTTGGTAAAAACTGTTTCGCCAGACGCCATTACAGGGAAAGTGGAGAGGGTAAAACCTGTCTGCCCCAAGTGTCACCTACACTACTGCGATCTTCAACAGATTCGAGGAGGCGAGCATCCCCATGTCACCCCCCGCCGGCGAACGATATGTCCCAATTGGAAACCACCCTTTTTCGGATAAGTATTCGGTGTTTGGACGGAGACTTGTCTTCCCTGCTGCACCCGTCGCCGGTTGTCGGGCGGTCCTCGTCTGCCATGTTCTCGCCGACTGGCAACTCCACCAGCTTCTCCTGATCTCGGACCGCAGCCAACTCTTCCGACCAACCAAGGAATGTGTCCAGCAACTGTGACTTCTTCGCCACCGGGTTAGGGTGAAGATCACTCAAACGGGCAATTCGGCAAGCTATATGGCGAACTTTGGTCTCCATCTTTTTATTGGATAAGGTCTTCCACAGTCGCCCTAATAGCCTCAATTTTGCCTCCACACTTCGCCAACTCCGCCTCCCAATTCTTCGGCAGGTGTTGGGGGGATTCAACGTGGCCACTCTGCTCCAGACTCAGCAATCGACGAAGCTTCTTCCACGTTCCCATTGTTTTCGCCCCCCCCCCCCCCCCGATAGCAAGCCTGTACCCGAGTTCATCCTTAGCTTACCGAACATCGAACGACATGTTGATTCACACACACGCGCGCTCGCAAAGAAGTCTAGTGGTGGGGGTGTCTTACTTTTTATATGACTTATATTATGTTTTAATAACTTAATGGCTAATTTTTTTAACAGTTTGCAGCCGAAAAATCAAATTAGAAACTAAACGTTTATTTTACATTGGTTGAAGCTGACTTTTGAGAAATTAAGTACTTGTGTTTACAGCTTATTAGTAGGGTCAATTTTTCTGTTAGCACCATATACGCCATTATTTACAGAACCAAGAAAATCTTGCTTAAAATTTGGCCAAAAACTTTGTAAACACGTCACACTCGATCTTCTTATTGATTTTGTATTTTATTGTCTAAGCTTATAATAAAAAACAAAATGAAACTCATAGGCTTTTCAATACTCTTTATATTAGTGAAGTTTAATTTACAGTAAGATTAACATTTGGCGAGATACGGGAAACTTTATTAAATGAAAATGAGTAAAATAGAAATAATCTGAAAGTGATATATCCCTATTACAATCGATACTCAGACATTGGGCAATAGTCAGCGGAAATTGTTCTGTAGGATAATCCCCTGAAGTGGAAATGTCTGTGATCTATCAAAGAGCCAATAAATTAGCCATTGAGAAAATTCAAGTTCTACATAACAAGCTACTTAATACATAATTTAAAAACACAATAATCTTTTAAACATTTTTTGGGTAGATGGATTAAAATTCAACATTATTATTGATCAGTTCGGCGACAAAAGGAATTGAAGTCGTTGTGTATCGTAAAGTTTGTTAGGTAGTAAGGATCATTCACGATTTTTCTCAGGACTTTTGATTGGAAGGATTGGATTTGCTAGATGTTCGATGGCTTGGCGGAACCCCCACAGGTACATTTCGTAATGTATGTGTTGTATAGAGTTCGTCGTGTTTTGACAGTAAAAAAATGTCGGTCCTAAAAGTGTTAGTACTAGTCACAGTCATGTATTTGGGATATTATAATGAATGTATATAATAAATGTTACATACATACGATAAATTAATTGAGTTTTCTTTTTTGTTTCAGGTCGACCTCCTCCAAGGGTCAAATGGTGGAGAGACGACAAGATCGTCGATTCTACGGACACAACAACAGGGTTTCCAAATGTAAAAAACAATCAGCTGGTTGTTAGTAGTTTAGAAAGAAGTCATCTTCATTCCATATACTCTTGTCAAGCGTCAAATAACAACATCAGCCTTCCTGTATCTGCCAAAGTTACTATCGATATGTACTGTGAGTATTAAAATTAAAAAAAAAAAAAATTAAAAAAAAACTAACAATAGAAAAGTAGAAACTACGATAAAACGGTCGATCTGTTGACATACTGAAGGAAAGTTATTTGAAATGGTAAAACCCAATGCACCCCAATGCTGATACTGCCAAACTCCACTCGTTCATATCAGAACGTCCCCAGCAATCTCCCATTGCATTATTGCACAATGCGAGTCGAGCGCAAAATGAATTTCAAAGAGGAACTCTGCCGATGAACGTTGAATGGCGTATCCAGAGAGTGCATTAACGGCACTTCGTGTTGTAACATGCGCCGCGATTTGCATTTATCTAACCAGAAAATAACACCTGCCGGTCCCGAAAAGCCCAGCCTATTCCACCGTCAAACGTAAACAATGGAAAAGTTCAAACGATTACATTTACATTACGTACACAGCTCACTGGTTAAATCACAAACAGACTCCTCGCGGAGCTTTCATGTAGCTATACTCTTAACCGTCTCCTACAGTTAAATACAAATTAGGCAAATAAAAAAACATTGCACCTTTATGTCCGATTTACATAAAACATGAACTAACTGTTCTATTTGATTAGTTAATAATAATTTAATTTTAAATTTAATAGCCAATAAACCAACCATGTTTTACCTTAAAGGTGAACATCACGTAAAACTTATACTTTTCTTAATAATAATAACTTTATCGCGTTTGACGCACGGACACTTAAATTTAGGCCTACGCCCGCTTATGTCCCCTACATTCAGAGATAGTTGCTGAATGTGTCCCACATTTGAATGTTGTCATGGTTCCATATAGGGAGCGAGTAGGAATGCCGCCCGTTGCAGTTTGGGATAAGATCTCCAAATAATCATTGGCTATCGGTCACGAAACACCACACACGTTGTTACATATTTTGGTTGGGGGCTGGTTCGATGGCTTCAACATGCTGATCGGTGGTGTGTAACTCATTTTTATGGATGGCATGTCCCAAGTATGTATTGATGTTTGGGCAAAAACACATTTTGTGGGGTTTGCTCTCAGAATCGCTTTTTCTAATATTGCTAATACCAATTTTATTTTCTGACTGTACTCCTGCCTTGTCCTACTTGTCACACAGATGTCATCAAGCAGGGTGCCCACGCCTTTGATTCCATTCTGCAGTTTGTCCATGATTTTCTGAAACACTGCGGGTGTCGTGGAAATCCCAAAGCACAGTCTTTTATATCTATATAAATACTGTCGATCTAGTATCATTCAATAGTAACCCCATATGCGTGTTAATTGTTGTTATTTGCTTTGATTCTTCACCTAATTCCAATTTTTGATAGGCGTTTCTTAGGTCTATTTTGGAAAAGCAAGTAGCTCTTCGAACATTCCACAGGTGGGCAACTCTGGGACTTTCTTCCAAATATGGATTCACCGAACAGCGGTAATAGTCCCATCTGGTTTTATCAACGGAACTATTGGAGTTCCCCAGGCTATGTTCTACCGTTCCAAAATATATTCTGTTACTAATCGTTTCAGTTCTTCCTCAACTTTTTCCTCCAATGCAATTGGTAAAGTTCTAGCCCTCAAACAGACTGGGCTCACATTTTCTTTGACTTTCAAAGTGACATTTTTACCTGAGAAAACGCCTCCTTCTTTGGAAAACACAGAGGGAAATTTCGATAATATCTGCCTTATGTCCTTTGGGACATCTGGTCATGTTTTCATCTCATTATAGAAAATTGGACTAGGCCAGTTTTATTGAGCAGATTCAAACCCTTTCTTCTAATTAGGGGTGGTCCTCCTTTATCTAAAATATAAAATTCCATTTTTCCATTGTATTTAGGACACTTCACTGTTGTTTCACTGTTTTCCCGATGGGTCTGATTCGTGGCCCACATAGTCCGTCGATCTAGTATCATTTTCATGAATTGGATATCACTAAAAAAGGGGCAGTTAAGAGCTCTTGGAGATAAAATTATAAATTGAACCTGTATCCAATTCGAAAACGTGTTTTTGATTTTCCACCATTAGTTAGATTTGAATAGGCTCAGGCTTATCGTTCTTGTTTTCCATCTGTATTGAAAAATGAATCACTTAGATAAACTTCATCTTTTTTGTGTTGTTTATTACAACTTTCTTTTTTGTTTTTAATTTACACATGGAAGCTAATTGGCTCGCGCGTTTTGTTACATTGCTCTCCCTGAGGCCCATGATGGAGATATCTCGTAGGAGGTTGTCTAACTCAGGACCAAAAGCACAATAGCTCGCTAACGTTCGCAGCCTGGCTGAAAATACAGACATGTTTTCGTCCTCTTCCTGTCTGGCCGAGTAAAAATTACGGGGACACCTGTCTTGGGCCCCGGTCAGAACTACCTAGATACTTCCGCCGCCGTTCGCCACCATCTAACATAGCGGGAAACAGACGAACATTCGAACTCAGATAACCCGAGTTACGCCTTCCACCGCCCCGCCTGAAGTCGACCGCAAGAGCGTACCTTTCTTCTGCGGCATCTCTAGTAAGATCCTCCAAAGGGCGAACGCCCGTCACACAAGCCAGTTTCACAAACGACAGCCAAAGAACAATCGAACCCCTTCAACGGCATCTCATCATCTCATAAGAGTTCTTCCAAGGAACAACCGACCCGACAGCCACGCATTTGCTACACCCCATCCATCAATACGAGAGATTTGCGGGGAACTCTTTTTGTTCAGCCTCCAAGGCTGTTAACAGTGGCGCCACGTGTAGGCAAAAGCCCGCGGGAACGGGATAGGTTATGAGTTGCACGTCACTGTTCCCCATCCTCCTGTCCCACGCATCACGCGGACGGTGTGGATGGCCACGTCCAAAGAGGTCACCGATCAGGAGGCCGCGGGGGGGATTGAATAGGAGATGGACGAGAATAGCCTGTCTAGTCCAGAGGCGAACTATTACTAAGTCCCGCCGATGAGGGGGGTATAAGGGAGAAAAAAAAGCAAACCACGTAGGCCGAAGTTACACTGAGAAATCCACCTATCCAGTAAATAATAACGGGGAGATTACATCAAATTGTATTATGGATAGAACAATAATTCGATGGAACTGGAAAGGCATAAAACACCATAAAGAAGGACTTAAAAGAATATAGCTGATAAGCTCATGGAGGAGCGCCTAAACATCAAAATGAAATAACGGCGGAAGAAATTTTAATAAATAGAGATAACGTTCGGATCTTCGCAGTTAGAATAAAAACACCGAAACAAAATTACATTGTGCTCACTGTATTTACCTGATCGAAATTGGCATAAAGAGAATATTTAAATATATGAAACTCTTTGCCCCAACCAATTTTCCTGATGTGAGACTTTAAATGGCAAAAAGGAGGGAAAATTCAAAAGGTGCGGTTGAGATAGGAAGTTAATGTCCGAGCGGATCGAGGTCACGATAGCTCAAGTGGTAGAGCAGCGGCGTATCTAGCCGAAGATCGTGGGTTCGAATCCTGCTCGTGCCATTGACTTTTTTATCTCGACTAAAAACCTTAATTAATTGTAATATATTGCTCAAGCGGACCACGAAATTAGTGAATTTACTGATTTTAGATTTCAATGGGACACGTTAGATGATGTCTACTGTAGCGACCCTGTCGCCATTGCAATAATGTCTCGGTCCGTCTCTTTCTCTGCATTGATCTCCATACCAGCAGTCATAGAAGACGTGGATGCCGATGGCGAGAATGTAACAGAAGAATTGAGAGCCGACGAATTTATTTTTTCAAGCACATTTAGACATGGACAGAGTCTTTATGTTGAGTTGCAAAACTTATGAAATAATTAACCAGTATGTGAGAACAGTACAACAAACAGTAACTACAAATAAAACATTCCTAATAAATAATTAAACCACATACTATATACATTAATATACAAAAAATAGAAATTACATGATTTATATTTACTAAATTATTGTTATATACACGTTATAGCGAATATATTCATAATTACAATCATTAAAATGATATCCTCCTTCATGTGATGTAATTATCTAATAAGAACTTTCTGGAACTTCACGCCATCATTGAAATGAGTACAAACATTCCCAACTATTGCCATCATTGTATTGAATCAGTTCTTCGCGTAGTAACACATTTTCCCCGAAGGCTTTTATTATAAATTCATTTAGAATAAGGCAGACCGATACATAGTGATAGACATCTTCCACCGCGCCAACATTACACATTGCACAAGCATGCTGTTCTTCCGTTCTGCTACTTCTAAAATTTAAACCCAGCTGTGGGCCCCGAATCATCAGAATTCCTCTCATGAAACAAAATTTGCTTTTATCAGAAATGATGGGCTCCTAAATTTTGACGAAAGTCCTATGAGTATAGTTTGTAAATAAAGGACCTATCTTTCGAGGGGGTCAAATGCTCCCTTACAATCGACGAAAAAGCACTATAACTTCTTGTTTCTTTTAACTGTTTTCAGTTTGATTATATTAACTAAATAAAAAATGTTGTCCATCGCCGAATATCCTTTTCGAAATCCTGCTTGACACTCTGACAAAATATTATTTTTAACGACCTCATTCTATTCATTGCAAAAGCAAGTCTGTAAACAGTGTGCCAATACAGTCCGAAAAAGATATTCCCTTATAATTAATGGCCGTATTGACATCTCCTTTTTTATATTGGGGAAATATGATTGCCTTAAAAAAAGATCTCTGGTGTGCGGCCTGTCGCACAACAAAATTGTTTGGGCTGTTATGAAAAAATTCGTAAAGTACCCGATCGAGCCCGGGTGCTTTAACAAGTCTACTATTGTGGTACACAATCACTCCAATGCCAGAAATTAATCTTTCGTCCATGAACCTTTCCCCTTTTTTCAATTTATTCTATTTTCATCAAAATTAATATAACAGAAAGACAATGAAAAACCTTCCGAAACACGGTATATTTTGTATTTCAATATTATTAATAATATTAACAGATGAAGTGAATATTTTTCTTCTATAGAGTTGTCTGCCTAGCAGAAATTTTTACT